AGCAGATTCCAACGTTTCTGAAGTCCTTGGCGGAGAACTTTCAGTAGTGTCCTGAAAAAGGAAAGAAGACAAATCTTCAGAGATCGAAAGAGACACAATCGAATATGGGTATCTATGCCTAAATTATAAAAGGGCCTAAGAGATTACCTGTGGATTAACTTCAGCCCCAGGGCTGGAATTGTCACTTTCGACAGGCTTGTTAAGAAGAACGTTCAGTTCCTCCTCAGTTGGCTCCTCGATGATCACTGGAGGTGGCCTAGGCTTTCTCACCGCAACCTTTATTCTGACGGTTCGACCTTCAGGAGCAGGAGCAGGAACAGAAGCATCCTTCGTCAACTTTCGCCTTTTTAAGGGGGCAGGAGGGGAATCACTTTCTTCATCACTCCCAGATTCGACCACCAGTCCTGGCCGTTTCTTGGGCGAAGGTGCCTAGAAAACCAATAGGAATTCGATTTAATAATTGCATCGAAAGTGAAAAGTCGAAAGCCAGAAAAAATGATGAAAGTCTGGTTACCGATATAGAAGGCTTCTTCGAAGGGCCTTCCCCTTGTTGGTTGCTTATGGTCTTCACCGGCGCTGTAGTCTTCGCCGGCGGTGGAGGTTTTGTTGAAGGGCCTCCTCCTTGTTGGCCTTCTGTAGCCTTCTTGGCTACAGGCTTTCGAACAACTGAAAACAAGTAAAAAGTTAACAGGCTAGCAGTCGAAGAGAAAGACAAAAAGTAATGTGGGAACATGAACTTACATTTCTTTACTTTGTCCAACACAAGGACAAAAGACTTCTGCAGCTCATCCATGAAGTCCTTCTCGTCGAAGAAGTACTCAGCATAATAGCTTCTCCACCACTCCTCGAAGGATGGTGAATAAAGAAAATTAAGCTGGTAGTCAAACAGCGAGAGGATTGTTCGACCAGCATATCTTCCGATATGCTTGATGGCAGCTTCTTCTGTATAATCGTTGCAGAAGTACAACATTGACTTCTCTCTTTGAAAAATCGGAGAAGGTAGGGTTTGGATAATACCAAACTGGCGAGATACCAGATTTGGTTGGTAGGCAATCAGACTCAAATGAGTCTTAGAACTCTTGAATCGAAGAGGCATGATCCTTGGTGTAAGGAACGCCTCCCACAGTATTGTGTGTTCATCAACATTGGGACCACTCGACTCCTTTGGATGTGCCCTTGTGAACCATGCTGGGCCTACTTGTCGTCGAGCAAATGGAGCCATAGTTGAAACAAATTCCTTCCTTCGAGCGAACATCAGAACGAAGTTGGTGAAGGTTTGTTGAAACTCCAGTCCATCTTCTACAGGTGTCAGCAGAGCCAGCCTGATTCCTTCGACGCGTCTATTCGCTATCGCTGGAGCCTGTTCATTTATCTGAACCTTCTTGGGCAAGAAAGATTCGAAAGTGGCATTGAGCCACAGTTGAAGTAGCCAAAAAGGCCCAGCGAGTAGCAAACTGGCCCTGTCCTCGATATGTTTCAGAAGAGTTGCCCCATTGCTGATCGAGTCATAGAGGCTAGCCAGAATCAGTTCTTCCAAACAGATGTTTTGGCGGTGATGCAGTTGGGTAGCAAGAGTGACCATCTTTTTGGTCACCTGTAGAGACTTCGAGCAAAACACAAAGCGAGTTAGCCATAAGGCTAGAAACGCTATGTGTTCGACATCCGACACAGTATCTGTCGACCTGTCGTGATAATGGTTGATGAAAGTGGTGTATGTTGGTTTGGTCTCAGAGAAGTCAATTTGGTCCTCCGACATCTCCTCCGGATCGAAGTAATCCCCGGTGGGTCGAAGGCCAGTAATAGCGGCCACATCAAAGAGTGTGGGGGTTAGCATCCCACATGGAAGATGAAAAGTAAAATGGGAGTAGTCCCAGAACAACAGTGAAGCTATCAGCATTTCCGGGGAGTAGTTCAAACCCGTCTTCGACAGCATCACTAGGTCGAAGATTCCCATATCCTTCCAGATCGAAGTTTGGTGCTTCTCCAACTTTGTTAGCCAAGCAACATAATCGGAGGTAAGGTTAGGGCAAGACCTGAAGACCCTAACACCTCTGTTGAAGAAGCGGAGGTCGATTTTTTCACGTGTAGGGTCTTCATTGTCTTCTGCGTCTTTCTTGGCGCATGCTACTGGTTTGAGTTTCTCGACTATTGGGAAATAGCTCTTGATCTTCAGAGCTTCAGAGATACTTGGATTCATGGGGCCAGACATTGCAAAGATCTGGTTGGAGTATCCAACCGGGATCATCAAGTGGCGCGAGTAAGCATCGCGAACAGCGATGTCAGAAGGTTCAGGAACCCTTCGTTTGCCTGTAGAGTTTACTACTGGGGCAGTGACGAAGACCTTGGGTTTAGCATGTTCAGTTGGTGTGTTAGCACTGGGAGCAGTAGAACCAGAGGCCATGGTTTGGTGTTGAGTTGGAAGTGAGTTTGAAGATGAAGTGAAAGAGGAAGAGTTTCTGCAAAGATAGCAAGGAAGTTTGAAGGCTAGTTGGCGTAAAAAGTCCCACAATGGGATATTCACTGCTATTTATAGTAGTGGGAAAAATCCCCAATAACGAGGACATTAAATGCCATTTAATGCTGCAGGAGTTAGTGGGACGCGTGGCAGCCCCTTGTTGTTTTGGCCGTTTCTGCAGAAATAGAGGGACGCAGCGTGCGTCCTCGTTTTTGAGAATTGTCATAATGACAAATTCTGAAATGACATTTGGTACTGCACGCCGTACTGAAAGTGACGTCCTAGGATCAAATCAATGATGGTTTTCTTGGGATTGCCAATAGTTGGTAAAAAGCAACAAAAAGTGCACAAGTTAATTTGTGACTAAGCGTGGAAGGACAAGTGTCGAATGGCGTTTCAAAGAATGCCTTTTTCTGTCAGAGTCGAAATAAGGCATTCTTGGGGGGCAATTTGTTGGCTCCTAAATTCGACACCTTTGTTTTGTTGATGTCAGCCATCAAAAGCTGAAAGATGCTTTCGACTGGCTAAGCCTGTCGAAGTGCCCGTCGAAAGATGGCAAAGTACTTAGAAGATTTCTTCCAAGGAAGAAGGCTGGTTGCCTTCGACGTCGAAGAAGTTTCTCGTCGAAGATGTCTCTTGACGAAAGTGTTCGATGGTCCAGAGTGGAGCAGTTTTGAAATTCAAGCTTTTTGGAGGGAAAACGGTTTCCAGCAGTTACCACGTGCAAACGTGCAAGGATCTGGAGCGTCGAACGTGGAGAACGTGCCAAGTGGATTGATCTCGAAGCAGTGTAACTGCCTGACGGTTACTTGGGATGTTTTAGTATAAATAGGAGTAGACATGTAGTTTCTCGCGTGTGTTCACAATTCTATACATAGTCACTCATTTAGATTCGAGTACCCAGCGTGTGAGAAAGAATTGTTGAGAAATGTATGTGTGAAACACCAATTTTATCAATTAAAGTCATTTACTTTTCCAGAATTTTACTTGCTTTTCTCTTTACATTTCCTGTCGAAACCCTTTACTTTAAGCCTTGTTTATTTTACCAAGTCTTTCCTTTATGCAATTTACTTGAAACCTTTTATTTAAAGCCTTATCCAACTTAACCAAACTTCAAAATCAACCTATGTCCTAGGATCAATCTGATCGATCCTGCGAGTAACCAAATAAGTAACCATTTGGAGGATCAGCGGTTGTTTACCAAAACCCAAGGTAAACACTGTGACATGACAATCGTCTACTCCTCAGTTAATCAAATTAGGTTTTGTTGAATCATGGTTCAAAGATGTTTTATCCGGATATTTCTCTGTGCGTCTGAACGAGGAATCAAGATTGTGAGGGTTTCACATCAAGGGAATTCTTCTGTGATTCAGACTTTATCATCCATCTGTAAGATGTTCCTTGTGACACTAATCTCGAGTTGAAATAACCGATCGCTAAGGGCTGAGGATTGAATTGTGAAGCATGGTTCATGACCTAAGATATGAATTCATAGATTTCTCCTTAACCAAGGCCATCATTATCCTCATCATTGTCATTTATTATCTGCGATGTGGGTAGGTTTGGATTGAAGCAGGTTTCCCATAGAAGAATTCATGCAAGGTAATTCAAGGTTCAAGGCATTCAAGGCAGGGTTTGTTCAACATGGCATACCTGGTTGATGGGCTTACAAGCTCTCATGAGATCTTGAGATGCATAATCATGGGTCAATTTCGAAGATATGTGGATAAGATCTGTTGACTTCGGTTAAAGTAAGCTTTGAAAAATTAACTTTGGGACCAAGGTCTCCCTTGAATTTTCATCTAATATGTGTTGGGAATTCGAGTTGCATTTGGAGAATGGTATGGTAAAGGAAAAGAAATATTGGTTCAGAAAAGAAAAAAAAATTCATTAAAAATCAGGGTTTCTATTCATTGATAAAATTTCAAGATTGAAGTTAGGAGTTCATTGAGAATGCAAGTGTGATTTGGATTTGAAGTTTGATTTGAGTTCAAGATTTTGATTGGATTAAAGTTGGCAAAGAGTCTTAAGCATTGTTCATATGGCTTTCTTGGAAGGTAAAGTACAGACTGCAAGGTTTTGTTTCAAGTCAGAGTTCATACGCATTACAAAGACGTTCATCGTTATTCCAGATTCAAGTTGACATGTGTTCAAAGTTTATTCGAACCCTTTCATTCATAATTCAAGAAAATACTATCCAATTCCATTCAATTTCATTCAAGTGTAACAATACCTTACAAGAAAATTTGATGCTTTCATGTCTTCAAGCATTTTTCAAGACTTTGTCATTTAAACTCCGTCCTTAAAATTCATCACCCAACATTTCAAGCTCAAAGGTCATTTATAATTCACACTATAAATTTCAAGTTCATCCAAACCAAACATTCATTATAAAATCATTACAATCCCATTACACCAATATTCTACAAAGAAAAAAAACTGTTACAAAATACACTTGAACAAAATTCTTTAGTCCTAAAGGTGCTAAAATTCCATGAGTAAACTTCTAATTCCATGCCATGCCAAAGTTCTTCATTTTCAGTTCATGACTTGCACATTCATACAAAAAAAATCCAAGTCAATACAAGCAATCATACCAAAATACCCCCATTCCCACCGCTACCCTCATTTCACACAGTATCACAAAAAAAAAGCTGCCTCCTCCTCGACATCAGACAATAATAGCTCATTCAGAGGAGATGAAGACGAGCGTGTGGAACTGCAAGCTCACTTTTCAGATTCTCAATCTACTGGAAAATCCTCTAAGTCAAATGTAAATAGTTCTTCCATGAAAGATAAATCTTATTTACCTCACTATGATTCATTGAGCACTGTGGTTGAAAATGTACAATCAGAACCTATTTTATTCTCAACTACTAAATATCATGAAGCAGAGATTGAAGGCTTGTCATCCAACCAGCTTCCAGAAATTGTTGAGTTTCAAAATACAGATAATAGAAAGTTTGTCATGTGTGATGATGCCCATGTTCACGAAGAAGGGGTTTCTGACTCTCGGCAAACAAATTCTGAGCTGTTGACTTCAGGAAAGATGTTGTGTTCTGATCTTGAACCTACCAAACCAGTGACGCTACCTGCAGTGATTCAGTCAGATGAAAGTGTTTCTGACAATGTTGAGCTTAATAGATTAGGAAATGGTGCAGACAGATCAGGTCTTGTTGAATCTGTTGCTTCCAAACCTTCTTCTCCCTCCCTTATAAAAGATGATACGGTCCCTGTGTACTCTTCTGACAAAATTTCATCGGACAACTTGGTTGATGATTCCCTTTGTAATGATTCACAAGAAGGTTCCCTTTGTCCATCCATCAAAGAATTAGGCTTGAATTTAGGTGATGAAATAAATGGATTCAGCAGCAGTGTTGATCCAGTTGAAGGTGATGGTCATATTGAAAATCCTTCTTCTTATAATCATGTGATGGTAAATGGTGCGATCACTGAGTCAAAAGATCAACCCATTCCTTCTGTTGATAATGCTGAAAATGATGTGGGTATCATTACTTGTCCAGCTTCAAGTATGATTAGTTATCCTTCAAGAAGCCTTTCAAATCCGCGAGAACTAGTCCACGCTTCTTCAGACTCTTATCCAATGGAATCCAATGAAGTGGAATTGACTCAAATTTCATCGGACTCAAATACAGAGACGATCGAGAGTCAATTGGCACCATTGCCAGATACAACTAATATTTTATATTCTCCAATGAGTAATCTCACAAAATTAGAAGAATCTGTTTCTGCTTTTACAGATCTAAATGAGAAAGAGACAGAAGACCATGAGGTAGTTGCTAGAGAATCTTTGACAGCACTAGAGGGACAGAAGGCAGCGGGTCATCCAGAACTTGTTTCTTCAGATGTACAAATGAACCTCAACAAATTGGTGCCTTGTGATGATCTTCCAGATTTGGGAAATAATATTGAAAAATCTCCTCCTAAGAAGAAAATCCTACAGAGTGTTTTCCAGGATGATGCGAAAGTGGTGCCTGGATTTTCTGGGTTTGACACCCGGCAGTCAGAATCTACTAGTTATGGCCAGAATGATCTTATACAGAATGACACAAATAGTTTTTCATCTACATCTGATAACAAGTTGGAGTTTGAAACTTATTTTGAGCCACACTTACAATGTCAACTTGATGAACAGGATGGAGAGTTTCCACTCAATTATGAGGAAAACTTTGGCTCTGAGAAATCTCAATCTCAGCAGATGCATATAAATCAAATAAAGCAAGAAGGCACTCATGCTACTTCTGAATCTGTCTCAGAAACCCCTCCAGATGTTGAGATATCATCCTTAATCAAATGGGAAGGAAGTCTATTGAGAAACTGAATGTTCATTATCAACCCATTTTTCTGAGCCATGTATTCGATGCATTCAACTAGATCCAACCAGCCAAACCCAGTTTGATAACCCGAATGATTCAAATATGGAAGAGATGCCCATTGTACTAACAAGGTTAAGTTTAAAACTGGGCTGCACACTAATACAAACGCTAGCAATCAACACAAGACTAAGCTTGGTGGGAAGGCTGAAACTTCAAAAAGGCAATTTATCTAATCAGAATAAAGAGGCGGTACAAGTTGAATTAACTGACAAATGGTATCCTAATATGCCATTTTTGGATGTTCCTTTGTTAAAGCAGCTGGCTGCTGAAGGAATTGTTTGTAGGACAGAAGCTTGAAGAATGGGAAACAGAAGATTAATTAACAGCTCATCAATTTCCTCCTAACAACTTTATAACTCTCTAAACTACCTCCAAACAGAATTCCAACTAACATTTTCGTTCAACCACTAACTTCTTCACATAGCATATTACCTCTTAATAACAAAATTGCCTTCAACAAACTTAGCTAAATCCATTAACCTCCTTTCACAATAGAATTTCTAACTAATTTGCTACTAAATTGTCATATTCCCTAACTGTCCAGCAGAAAAGTAACTAAACAATATCCTAGCTACTCTTCATTCCAAAACTAACACAATTTCAACCAACCTTTCTAATTCACAGATTCCTAACCGTTTCTTAACCAACTTCCAAAGTAGAATTTCTAAATAACAAATTTCCAGCTTTCTTACAACCTATTCCCCAACTAAATTCCCTAACAGAATTTTCTAACCTAACTTCCCATCCAAAACCATATCTCAATTAACCAACTTAACTAACCCAAAAACAGTTACAGCATACCTAACATTCAGTAACCAATTCATAACAAACTCTCAAACCTTCTAACCACTTATAACTGCATAACAAACTGCATCCTAACTTCCTAACAGAATTAACTAACCACATAACCAACTCATGGCTTATTTTACAACAAACTTCCAGCATATATACATAATGGGGATTGACAGAAGGGAGGAGATTCAACACAGAAAAAAAGATTACCTCTCAATCATCTTATTCTTCAAGTTCACGGGAATCACCAAAATTTCACCCTCTTCTCTCTGATTCCTTCTCCATCACCACCAAAACAAATATTTGAGAATTCTCTCACTTCTCTCTTTCGATCTTCATTAGCATCCTTCATCATCTTCATCTTCAACTTTCTTTCTTCAATCATCTTTCTTCACCAACAATTGCAGCCACTTCACATCCTCATTCACCTTCAACAAAACTCCATCACCTTCAAGCACAAACAGCTTCAAACCATCTCCAAACCCTTCATCATTGCGCAACCTCTGTCATAAATTTTCAAGCCATATATTCATCACGGCAACACACAGTTTTTGCCATTTTCACCATATAATCTTCATCGACATCAACATCCTTCATAAATGAATTGTATCCTCCAACCTCACTTTAATTTGCTTCAACAATGCATCTTCGCCAACCTTCAAAATGTTCAATTCGGAGTTTATTCCTCGGCTTACACCGCTTAAGGAAACAGAAAGAAGAACTGGAAGAAGAAGAAGAACAAAGAGTAATAACAAGAATCAGATAGGAAGCATACTGGAATTTGGAAGCTCCCGCTGGTTTTATCTCATCATCGCCGCCATTAAAGCCGCATCGGACGGACTCCGATCGGTAAACCCTCTGAACTTTCCAATCAATACTTCGTCTATAGCATATAGTTCTTCTTCTACCTATTGATACCACCATTAGAACTGGGGAATCCTTCACCTCGTCCACTGGCCTAACATTGAAGCGAAGAAAGATTTGAGGAATTAAGGTTGGGACACCTTTGTCTACGGCGGGGAAACATCATAATCGATCGGCGGATGAGAAGAGAGAATGAGATGGCAACGCGAGGACGAAGAGGTAGCGGCGTTGTTCTGTTTGAGAAGGAGGACGAAACATTTTTTTCTCTCTAACCCTAACCCTTTTCCAATTTCATATGCTTTCTTTCATTTAGTTTAATTGTTTTATGATTTTGTATTTTTTTTATTTTTTATTCAAATTGATAATAATTATAATTAAGTGAATAATGAATAAAATGTTGAAAATCTTTTTGGGCAAATTACTTCAGCACCCATATTTCTAGACTTCATACCCCCTAACTCTTCTAATTTTTCTTTTCTTTTATTATTTTAGTTTCTTCTTTTAGTTTAATTTTTTTCCCTCTCAATTGATAATAAAATGATACAATAGAATATTTTAGATTTCTTTAGAATTTCTTTTTAGAATTTCGATTAGAATTTTTTCTATTTTATCTTTCATATTCGATAATCATTTTACTACCATTTTCTAGTTAAGATTTTTGTAGTATCGACATAACTCTTGCAATGTGGAATGCTCGGGGTGAATTCAATCACTTGACCAAGGGAACTTTGATAGAATTTTCTTACCGCTTGCACAATTTTGAAGAGGCGACAGACCTTCTCCATTCGGTATCGTCACAACTCTATTTTTACTCCTGCACTTTACCACTTTCTAGGTAGAATTCCCTCAAGATTCTAACTTTAGGTCTAATACACGATAACATTAGATTTAGAAATAGGCTAATCTTCCTGTGACTTTCGTCTTCCTGTGACTTTCGTCTTCCTGTGACTTTCGTCTTCCTGTGACTTTCATCTTCCTGTGACTTCCGTCTTCCTGTGACCTTCGTCTTCCTGTGACCTTCGTCTTCCTGTGACTTTCGTCTTCCTGTGACTTTCGTCTTCCTGTGACTTTCGTCTTCCCGTGACTTTCGTCTTCCTGTGACTTTCGTCTTCCTGTGACTTTCGTCTTCCCGTGACTTTCGTCTTCCTGTGACTTTCGTCTTCCTGTGACTTTCGTCTTCCTGTGACTTTCGTCTTCCTGTGACTCTCGTCTTCCTGTGACTCTCGTCTTCCTGTGACTTTCGTCTTCCTATGACTTTCGTCTTCCTGTGACTTTTGTCTTCCTGTGACTTTTGTCTTCCTGTGACTTTCTTTCCTCCTTTGCATATGCAGTTAAAACAAAAAAACTTTTTTTTTACAAACTTCAAAAATACATAAAAATTTACTGACAAAAACCATGTCTTGGCTAAGTTTGAGAGATGATGAGCGGGTTTCTTCTCGACATTATTATTCTCTTGTTCTAAGCTTTGGTATGATTCAAGTCTTAAAGACTCATTTCATGAATAAGTAGAGAAATGGCTAAAATCTCTATCTTGAGGCTAACTAGCTATTATCTACAAGCGAAAAACACCAACAAACATAAAAATCTTTTTGCCGTCGGGCCTTTCTTTCAAACCCTTTTCAAAAGAGCGTATTTATTCACTTTTGTGCTGACGCGTAAATCTCCAAAGGTCGAGTTGCGGCAAAAGGCGAGATTAATACTGTTCGTTAAAGAGAATACAAACAAACAAAAACACATAAGCCGAACTATGGTAGCTCTGATTCCTCAAAACGGATACGTAGGCATTGGGTTAGGGCCCAAGCGAGCATAATTTTATTTTCCCTACATTTTTTTCTCCTTATTTTGCATGCACTTTCCCTTTAGTAATAATAAACCGTAAGCATAGATTAGACACACCCATAAGATAGACAACAAGAGTGGATACCGTAGAGTACTACGGGCGTGTGGGGTGCTAATACCTTCCCCTCGCGTAACAGACTCCCTTACCCTTATCTCTTGGTCGTTCGACCTTGATTTCATCCTTCTCGGGTTTTCTCGATGTTTACCTTTCCCTACATGTGGGATAAAAGACGTTCGATGGCGACTTCATTGTTTGATGATTTTCAGCCGGTTGTTTCATCAGTGTATCCTCAATGGATCGCCAATATTTTCCCAGTACCGAAAAAAGACGGAAAAGACCGCATGTGCGTAGATTACATAGATCTAAATAAAGCTAGTCCAAAAGATGATTTTCCATTGCCACACATTGATATGTTAGTGGATAGCACAGCAAAATTCAAATTTTTCTCGTTCATGAACTGATTTTCCGATTATAATCAAATAAGAATGGCTCCAGAGGACATGGAAAAAACAACGTTCATCATACCCTGGGGAACATTCTGTTACAGAGTGATGCCCTTCGGGTTGAAGAACGCTGGTGCAACGTACCAGAGGGCTATGATAACCCTATTCCATGATCTGATGCATAAGGAAATTGAAGTATATGTTGATGATATGATTGCTAAATCCTAGATTGAAGAAGGGCATGTAGAAGATTTATTGAAGTTGTTTCAGCGTTTTAGGAAGTATCGACTCTGCTTGAATCCAAATAAATGCACCTTCGGTGTTCGATCAGGAAAATTGTTAGGTTTCATTGTTAGCCAAAAAGGAATTGAAGTTGACCCTGATAATGTCAAAGCAATTCAAGAGATGCCAGCGCCAAGAATTGAAAATCAAGTCAGAGGGTTCCTCGGGCTTTTGAATTATATTTCCAGATTCATTTCCCACATGACTGCAACATGTGAACCGATCTTTAAGTTGTTAAAGAAAGATCAAGGTTGTGTATGGACGGATGACTGCCAAAGGGTATTTGAAAGTATTAAAGAATATCTGCATGAACCTCCTATCTTGCTCCCTCCTGTCGAAGGAAGACCGTTGATTATGTATCTGACAGTGTTAGATAATTCCATGGGCTGTATTCTGAGACAACTAGATGAAACATGGAAGAAAGAGTATGCCATTTATCATCTCATTTAAAAGTTTACTGATTATAAGTCGCGGTATTCCATGCTGGAAAAGACATGTTGTGCTCTGGCCTGGGCAGAAAAACGTTTGTGGCAGTATATGTTGAATCACACCACTTAGTTGATCTCCAAAATGGATCCAATCAAGTAAGTTTTTGAAAAGCCTGCTCTTACTGGGAGAATTGCCCGCTGGCAGATGTTATTATCTGAATATGACATCGAATACCTCACTCAAAAAGCTATTAAAAGAAGCATGTTGGTAGATTATCTTGCTCACCAACCAGTTG